GTGAGAAGAATGATAAAAGCAACAGCGGTAAATATGATAAAGTAATAATTATAAATACGATCATTGAAATCTATCTATTTCAAAAATTTTCAGAATTAAAGTATGGAGACGCAGTTATTGTAACAAAGATAAAATCCAGCTGCACCGTCTTTTGCATAGAGCAAATATAAGCCTTATAAGCTCACTAATGTAACATTTGCAAGCATACGTGCATTCAGCTAATACGAGAACGACAACGAATCCTGTTTGTAGCCAGAACAAGAAATATGAAACCGCTAATTGTGATAACGTCCGCAACAGCGAAAGAATTGCATGCGTCGTCTTTCAATGGAAATGCATGCGGGAATTGACCGCATCAGGTGAGTAAACAAGGAAACATACATGTAGCTCATCAGACTTCTTACACACTTCCATTGTGCAGAAATTCATTACTAATAAGATAAGAATTATGATAATAAAATAATGATGTCAGGATCGACCACTGTGGGACAAACAGTATCCCCGACATCAATGAAATCCACTGTCGCTGAAACGACAGCCGCATCAACGGAATCCTTCAGTGTGGATGAAACCACAATAAGATCCCCTACGGAGCAAACAGCGTCGCCAGCAGGAACCACTACGCCAACATCAGCAGCATCACGAACGATCACCACAGTCGAGGCTACAACTGCTGGTTTGCCAGGATCGACCACTGTGGGAAAAACAGAATCCGCGTCACGAATGTCGTCCACTGTCGATGAAACGACGATCGCACCAACAGCATCCATCAGTGTGGATGAGACCACATTAACTACCGCCACGGAAGAAACAGCTTCGCGAACAGGAACCACTATAACAACATCAGCAGCATCAGGAACATTCACGACATTCGAAGCATTATCTGCTCCTTTGTCAGGATCGACCAGTGCGGAGCGAACGGAATCCTCATCGTCACTGTCCTCCACTGTCGTCAATACGACAACCGCATCAACAGCATCCATCAGTGTGGATGAGACCACATTAACTACCGCTACGGAGCAAACAACTTCGCCGGCAGGAACCAGCATGCCAACATCAGCAGCATCAGGAACATTCACCACATTTGAGGCAACAACTGCTCCCTTCTCAGGATCGACCACTCTGGGACAAACAGAATCCCCGTCATCAATGTCATCCAGTGCAGATGAAACGACAATCGCATCAACAGCGTCCATCAGCGTAGATGAAACCACAATAACAACCCCTACAGCGCAAACAACTTCGCCGACAGGAACCACTGTGCCAGCATCAACAGCATCAAGAACATTCACTACTTTCAAGGCAACAACTGCTCCTTTGTTAGGATCGACCGGTGCGGGGCAATCCCTGCAAACACTGCAACCGTCGACCGTTTCTACCTCCGGAGCATTGTGCTCCGATCGATCTAATTGTTCCGATTTTTTGGAATTCTGCGGTATTGAAGGATTGATACAGGACATGATGAGGGATTGTGCAAAGTCTTGTGGGTACTGCTCGGTTCAGTCATCCACCGCATTAATTTCATCGGATATCCTGCGACCGTCGACCGTTTCTGCCTCCATAGCAGTGTGCTCCGACCGATCTAATTGTTCCGATTTTTTGGAATACTGTGATATGGAAGGATTAGTACAGGACATGATGAGGGATTGTGCAGAGTCTTGTGGATTCTGCACTTCTAAGTCGTTAACTATGTCCACCATCCACACCACAAGTTATCAAATTTGCATGGATTATTCCACGTGTGACGCATTGGTATTTTTATGTGACGACAGCAAATTTAAGAAGCATCTCGAAGCACGCTGTGCGAAAACGTGCGGTTTCTGCACTATTTAACGATTCAGTTGAATTTTAAGCTGCTTTATTTTGGCCCCGGGAGAATATTTCAGGTTGTTCCGCAGTTGTTGAACGATATCGTGTTGCTTCGCTTAGGAAATCTGCGACTAATGATTATGGGACATAATGTAGTGCTTATATTTAAGGTAGCTGGGAACTTCTCCTGATGTGCCACTTATTTTGAGCGAACGCTCAGTACTAGCAATGCGATTAAAATTGCAGAATCGACCTTCATCGATTTGCTATGTATCGTTTTTTATGTAGTGCTTACGTATTCCTGATATCATATACTGACGAAATAAATAATGTTATACGGATCAGTCCTTTGGGATCAATGTAGTTTGCGATGAACTGAACCAATTTTTACACCATGTCGGTTGTGGAAGTGTCTGAATTAATCAGTTAGTATTGGAATATGTAGTTTATGGTCAACTGACAAATTCTAATTCGCTAAGGTTTGGTAAAAATCCCAAGAAAATCATCGGTGGTTCTGTGTCTTCATAAAAACTGGACATTGTGAGATGAATGTTATGAATTTATAAACGTGTTGAGTGTTGAGGCCTAGATTCTTATGNTACGGTTGAGGGAAGGAGACATTTGACAATAATATGCCAAATGAAAATAACTTCGTGAAATTGAAAAACCGAGTGATCGGTAAGCAGCGGCTGTATTCCGGGTTGCTATGGACAATGACTGTTGTAGTTCGGCTAATCAATGTGCAGCGATAAGAATAGCTGGACGATCTCTGGTCCAGTAGAATATAACAAGCATACTTGTCTCACTGATGGGCATATGAATGAAGTTTGAATGGAGCAGTTTACTTGCCTTTGACGAGTGTTAATGTCGAAGAAATAATAGCAGGGAAATATTTTTTTACGAGAATTGCTCATGCAGGAGATAGATCAATATCCACTCTGTTAACACACAAACAGTAGTCGATCAATTTCAAACGCTCTAACATTTGCCCATTTCTTCCAACAACAAGCTTGAATAATTAAACCGTTTGAAAACAGCGGTAGTAATATGCTCTAATTATCGTACTATAACAAATGATTGCTAATATAGCTAAACAGTGGTTCAATAATAATAATCACCGAATAATAAGTAAGGTTTGCGAGATATTGACCATTTTGGTGATCAAGGGATCACTTTTCAGTTCAATGATGACCCCTGGATCCAGCACTTTTTGAAACTTAGAAATATTGCATGTTCAGCATAATCTTTTTAACCCAAAGCGTTTGTAGTTAGCTACACTTATTCTTGCTTTTTACCACCTGCAGTCTAACTACATGACCGAGCTGTTCCCAGATTCACAGAAGCGAACTTCAATGAAAACGACAGTTCAAATTCTTCGAACATTCCTGTTCAGCTGTCAAAACATCCCAAATCCTGAAGATGTTGATCAAGATTGTTGTTCACTAACTGATGTATTCTAAGGTCATAAAGCATGAAAAACTATCTCTCGAATCAGTTCTGCAAACAATCGTCAGCGGAACACATAGCAATACACGCAGTTATAATAAGCACGGTGGTGCTAAAAATATACAATTAAAACAGGAGATATCAGCAGCCATGTCCATAATCAATTGTCAGATGAATGAATGGAGTGATTCAGCAACACATTTGTTACATCAAACCAGAATGAATTCATAAAATAACATATCAATCGTCCTCAGATTCACAATGGTGCATGTCCATAAGATGCAATCAATATGAGTGTTCCAAAAGTAACAAACTGCTATTTTTCTGGTCGTCATCGTTGCACTACTTTGAGCTTCTTTGTTTCACTCAAAATACGCATCTCATGAGAGGACTTAATTTAGTGCACGGTTTTAAGAGAGTAGAATTTTTGCTAGTACAGTCGACGAAATGAATATCTTGATGCGAGATTGGCTATGCGAGTGGCTACGTATTGACATGATCGATGTTGTCAAATGAGTGTTCCAGAACCTGGTTTGGTCCATGAATTGAACGCAATCGACACTGCCTTGTTTTTTTCACCTGTTTGCTTAATGCACTGTTGATTCACAGAATAAACATGACAATTTACATTACGCGTTTAACTCATTGTATCAAGGCCAACGATAGGTTATTATCGTTGGGAGGAGTGAATTGAATATTGTGTAGTGACATCGCAGTTTCTCAGATCTGCTATACAATTATTTCGGCAACCTACGAATTCGTGCTTTACGTTTGAATTCGCTGATTGTTCAAAGAATCGTCAAAATTTCCAGTATGACGGCATCATGAGAACAGATGATTGAAACGCTAATCGTTGACCTGTGTCTACAAGGATGGTCCAGATACCTAATTCCAATTTGATCGCTGCTAGTTTAAGAATAAATTTTCTTAAGAGAAGAACCGAGCAAAACTGTGGTATTATCACCAGTAAAAAATTAATCGTTATTATTCATCCCTCTCAACAACATCAAAAATCAGAATCGGCTGCATAGATTGAAGCTCGATCACTGTGCGAAAGTGCAAGCTTCGCCACGTGAAACTAACTGAATTCATGACTCGGATTAATGAATAGGTTTCTGACTTGTTCATGTCACATNCTATAGGTAAAGATTTTTTGAAAGTGCGAACATTGTTCACGAGAAGATACGGTAGAGTTCTTACAATGCTACCTCGGTATGACGTTATTGTGATGCAACTTCCGAACATTTCCCTTTTACAGTTCAATGCGATTTTGAAGCTGTCATATCCTCATTATAATGATAATGATTATCTAATTGTCAGAAATGCGTCCACCCAAAAAATGAGTTTGTTGTGTTTTTTTTTGAGTAAGCGTCGTACCTGTAGGGGAGAAATTAAAAAAAATCATCAACAAGTTATGCTGAGCTAATATCAGACACTGCAGTAAAAATTTTGGACTGGTTTTAAAAAGTGCTCAAAATTTCACAGGGAGGCGTAGTGGGTCTGGTGCCTCACTGCAAGCTATTTGTCATTCGGTAAAGAGAGCAAAGACAAGGACCGCCGAAAAGTAATAAGGTATAATACAATATACACATTACTTTCAGCAGTATCAGATAACATTTTCAAGCGACGATCAAGCGTTATGCAAAAAAGGGGAACAAAATATGGAGAATCTTGCAGTGCAACTTTGCAAGTATTTGAATACATGGAGATATGCTATATCGCCCATGCTAGCAATGCAAAGTGTGACCTCATCTTCAGCCTGTTTGAATTCGTTACTTTTTATGGCATCAATTTACTGTTTATTTCCATTCCAGAATCATTATATCATTAAAATTCAAACGTCTAGTCCAGATCCCTTGTGTTGTATTGTGTTCCGACGGTTTTAGTATTGTATACTTTTTCTTCGTAAATTTTCCCATTATTCCTTGAAACCTGTTTATTTTCTCATGTTTGTGATTCACAGCAATAGTCATGGACTAGACGTTTGAAAATTTTGTTCATCTAATTTAGCCCAACTAAAATTGCGACTATTCCAAACGATGCAAGGAACATGTCGAAGCGAAGTTGACAGGATGTTCCATACGATGATTAACAATCGCACACGAATGTTTTCTGTCTTTATGTGATCATTGGGTTGAACATCAGCATAGGTCGATCGTTTTATTTTTTCACCTGTTACTCATATAAGTAAAACAAACAACTTTTCATTTACATAAAAACATAACATTTACACAGTACCGTAAATCTATTGTATCCAAAGTCATAAAAGCATGAAGTATTG